AGCCCCTGACTTCCTTCTGGGATGAGTAGGTGTCTGAGGAAGGCGAGGACCTTGGTCTGAAGGGGCCAGACTCAGGACAGCAGAAGGAGGAGTCCGAGGCTCTGCCAGGAGTCAAAGTGAGTATTCTGAGAGAGGACTCAGGGGACCTCTCACTCCAGACAGAGGGGGGCACACAGAAACCTGCCCTTGAGATTAGTCCTGGGAGACCCCGGGCAGGGGTGGCCAGATGTATGTGCCCTCCCTTCTGCCTCAGTTGGTCTCAGGGAGGTGAGGATCTAGGTGTGAGGGAGCTGGACTCAGGTCAGCAGATGGAGGGACCCCAGGCACTCCCAGGAATCAAAGTGAGGACCTGAGGGAGGACTGAGGAGACCCCCAGCCCCAGAACAGTGAGTACCCCAGTCAGGCCCTAGGTGTCAGCCCTGGGAGATCCCATGCAAGGCTGTCGGGCAGAGGCGCTATCCCCCATTACTTCCTTCTCGCGGAATCTCAGGGAGTTGTCAGGAGTAAAGATGAATACCTTGAGGGGCACTGAAGGTGTCCCACACCCTACACAAACACCCCCGCCCCGCAACCACCATGCCCCTGCTTTCAGCCCTGGGAGACCCCTGGAGGGGGGGCCGGATGTGATGTTTTCTGACTTCCGGCTCTGGAGTCAGAGGTGAGGCCGGTCTGAGGGCCTGTGGCGTCGGGTCCAGGTGCGGCCCAGCGTCCAGGTGAGGACTGAGGGGACCAGGAATCTCAGAATATAGAGGCCCCCAGAGGAATGCACCCCTGCTGTCAGTCGTAGAAGACCCCGAAATAGCTTAAGAACTGGGGTTCCCCCTCAATTTGGCCCCGGGATCTGAGGGGCGGGGCGTCGTCTGACAGGGTGGCCTCCGGCACCGGAGGAGAGGGGTTCACGCACTCACAGGAGTCAAGGGGAGGACTGAGGGGATGCCGGGTCTTAGCAGAGGGTCCCCCAGAGATCCCGCCCCTGCTGTAAGCCATGGGAAACCCCAGCTACCCCTCAATTCGGCCCCGGGATCTGAGGGGCGGGGCGTCGTCTGACAGGCCGGCCTGGATCATCAGAGGGGAGGGGTCCACCCCTGCCGGGAGTCAAGCGGAGGACTGAGGGGACCCCGGGTCTCAAAACAGAGGGGCTGCAAATGAACCTGCCCTGTTATCAGCCATGGGAGACCCCAGCAACCCCGCAGTGCGGCCCCGGGATCTGAGGGGCGGAGCGTCCTCTGACAGCCTGGCCTACAGCAACAGAAGGGAGGGGTCTAGGCCCTGCCAGGAGTCAAGGGGAGGACTGAGGGGACCCCGGGTCTCAAAACAGAGGGTCCCCCAGAGATCCCGCCCCTGCTGTAAGCCATGGGAAACCCCATCTACTCCTCAATTCGGCCCCGGGATCTGAGGGGCGGGGCATCGTCTGACAGGCCGGCCTGGATCATCA